AGGTAGGTAGGTAGGTAGGTAGGTAGGTAGGTAGGTAGGTAATTAGGTAGGTAAGTAGGTAGGTAAGTAGGTAGGTAGGTAAGCAGACCGGTAGACAGTTTAGACAAGTAGACACATTTTTATTATTATGTCAATACGGCCACTTTGTATTGACATTATATGTACATAGATATAAAATGAAATTATTTTTAAAACGTCAAAAAAAAATCCGCAAAACTCAATTTTTTTTGAAAAAAATATAATTTTTTGAAAAATTGAGAAAAAAGTTTATTCTGATAAATAGACAGATATATTTTGGTCGTTAATTTGCTTATAACTACCTTTGCACGTGTCATGACTGATGTTTTGTCTGCTGCCGGTCAAACAAGAGCTGGAATCTGAATATAAAAAAAGTAAAAGGAAATGAGTTTTTGCCACAAATTCTAACTTTGCCCACACTTATATCTTAGCAACCCGATGTCGTAGACCTTTGATACTTTAAACTATGAATTCTGTTAGATCAAATAATCTTAGTTTGAAACATCAAAGGTAATTACACCATCAGATTGCAAAGATATAAGGATTAGAAAATTTGAGTTTAAGGCAAAAACTCAATTCCTTTATGCAACATCACTGGTACAACTTATAGTAGCACCTCTAGTTTCCATTTCATGCACACGTATGAGAAAAAGCAAATTTATTTGGTGACATATTAGAAATTCAAAGCATTATATTTTTGATATTTGTACATTTAATGTTCTTGAAGAAATTGAGTCTTTGTCACAAACGCAAATTTTACACCTAATGGCGTAATCCTTTGATATTTCAAACTTAGATTATTTGAGCTAACAGGTTTCATAGTTTGAAATATCTAAAGTCTATCACTTTGGGTTGCAAACATATAGAAATTAGAAAATCAGAGTTTGGGGCAAAGACTCAATTCCTTTACATTGAAACATTGAGTTTTCTCGTTCCGCCGAAAAAACTTTTAAATTCCTAATTTTGGAAAAAGGAATAATTGCGAAAACATTGTTTTCATACATTATTATTACAAAAAAAGGAATTGAGTTTTTGCCACAAACTCTGATCTACTAATCTTATATATATTTGCAACTCAATGTCGCAGACCTTTGATATTTCAAACTATGAATTCCGTTAGACCAAAAAATCTAAGTTTGAAATATCAAAGGTTCACACCACCAGATTGCAAAGATATAAAGATTAGAAAATTTAAGTTTAAGGCAAAAACTCAATTCCTTTATGCAACATCAGTGGTACAAAATTGTGAAAAATAGTAGCACCTCTAGTTTCCATTTTATGGACACATATGGGAAAAGCAAGTTTATTTGGTCACATATTAGAAATTCAATTACGAATTATGATTGAAAACACAAAACATTATACTCTTCTATTCAATAACTCTTCAATTTTAGGAGTTATGATTGAAAACACAAAACATTATATTTTGTTTTATTCAATAACTTTTCAATTTTAGGAGTTATGATTGAAAACACAAAACAT